CTGCCCTGGGAACTTCATTAGGAGGGAGGCTCCTGCTTCTTCATTTTAAATGACCTAACAGGCCTTTTTTTTTTTTTTTTTTTTTTTTTTTTTTTAATCTATGGCTTCCTGGAGCACTCATCTCTTCAAAAATAGTGCTGAGTGGGGTGTTAGGAGGCTGAATTCTGACTCCAATTCTGACATTTCTTCTTTCTGGACCATCCACAAATGAGGCAAAAGGAACTCAGCTGATCAGATCAGACAATGCTTGTGCTGGGTCCTGCCAGAACTTAACCCACTTGAACACAGAAATTATAGTGGAATATTAGAGGTGAACAGAAACTTTTAGTGATCAGTTGGACTCTATCATTTCCCTTAGAGAGGGAATGAGACCTGTCCAAGGTCACATAGTTAACTAGAGGTAAGATTAAATTAGAGCCAGGTGTTCTGGCTCTCTGTTCAGTCTCTCACCAGAACACGTTTTTTCAAAAATTCGAAATTTTAATCTCCCTTGCCTAGGGTACCTCCCAGACTTGTTTCTGAGTTTGGTCTCCATCCTGTCTACTCATTGAAACTGTTCTGGATTAAGTAGCTAAATCCTTGTATTATTTGCACGCAAGGAGCAGGAAAGAAGTGGAGTCTCTGTTATCTGGGGTACTCTTACTTTAATATATCAAAGAACAAAAAGCTTTGGGATAAGTTTTCAGAGGTCCCTTCTCCAATTTAATCTAATCATCCAGATTATTGAATCATCCAATGAATTTAGCAGGAAAAAACCCTCAAAGGGACAAAGAAGTTCTTSGAAAGGAACTTCTGGGCCAGGAATATCCAGGATTGGTGTTCCTGGTTGTCTGGTCTCCATTAGACACACAGACAAAGCTCTACCCCCAGAGTTGGCTTGTCAATGGATGAGTGGGGCTCCATTCTCTTCCAGATTGAACAAAACAAACAAGAACCCCTCCCCTCTCCAATCCTCCCACCCGCCCCCCACAGTCTAGAATGTTAATTAACAGGATTTAGTGAAAGTGAGGGTGCTACATAAACCCTGAACACCAGGCACATGGAAGAGATTAGCATGTTCCTTGCTGGTATCTCCTTGAACATTCTCCAAAGCCCAACTCAAATGTCATTTCCAAAGACCTAGTCAGATTCAAATGCCTGTTTACTGTGTGATCTTGAACAAACAATTTAACTTCTTTAGGCCTCAATTTCATCTCCTGCTAAMGAGGTTCATAATAATAAAAACTTTATAGAATGATTAGGAATTGAGTCAAGGTCATATTTGCAAAGGCCCCAGCATATTGCCTGATGCATCATAATTACTCTGTAAATGTTGAATAAACAGCAAGGGAACCAGAATCGCCCATGACTTCAGGTCCAACCCAGCTCCTTCTACTCTTCAGTCTCTGGCTTCCCCCCCCCCCTTCCCCTCCAAATCAGTAAGAGACGCCCAACCAGACTTCCTTACCTTGCTGYGATTCCCTAGAGTCATGACCTTGGCCACTGGTCTTTTTCTGAGCTGCTCTTTCACAAAGACCTCTATGTGCTTGTTCCACTTCATAGCGAACACGTAGAGGGCATAGGCTAGCAGCAGCAGCAGACTCTCCCACCAGGCGATGAGGCTGTCCAGGAAGAAGAGGATGAGCAGTGACAAGTCGAGGATATAAAAGGAGATATCCCGGAACAATGGCCACCAGGTGAGGTGGAGGACCTCCCGGGAGAAGAGAGAGCAGGTGCCAATGACAAAGAGGATGTTGAACACAGCAGAGCCCACAATGGTACCAATACCCACGTTGCTGTGGGATATGAAGACGCCAATGAGGGAGGTGAAGAGCTCAGGGGCAGAGCCTCCAGCAGCCATGAAAGTAGCACCTGCCACATCTTCAGAGATCTGCAGCTTCTCTGTGATGATACTGAGGGCTGGGACAAAAAACTCATCACACACAATGGCCAAGGCCACAAACAGGTACAACATRCCAAAGATATGCAGGATCACCCAGCCCTGCTGCCGTTCCTCCACGCTGAACAGGTCCCGGGGGTACTCTCCCTGGGGATGGTCTGGCCAACTGGGAAGCATTGCTGAGGGGCTGGGACCGGGCACCTCTGGGAAGAGGGAGGTTGTCAGGCTTGGAGATGGGCTGGTGGGCGTGGCTGGGGCTGGTTCTACAACCACACARTGACGGATCTGGACAGTGGGATTTGCCCTGACTTGGGGGGTTACAGAGGTCCTGGGTGCTGTAGAAGGTTTCTTTGCCAGCTCCTGGATGGTGGCTGAGGCTGTCCTGATGGAGGGTGCACTGGTTCTGGGCAAGGGATTCCTAACACTCCGGATAGCAGTAGAGGCTTCGTTTTTTGCTGAGCTGCCACCCATCGCGGTACTTCTTGTCCCTTGCCTCTCAGACACAGCTGAAGTGTGCTCCAGGTCTGCTCCCTGAAGAGTTGTCTGGTTGTTCTTCCCCACTAACCTCCAGGGATTGGATGAGCTGTTATTTCCCACTCTTTTGGAGCTAGTCATGGTGTTCTTTTCTGCTATTCTCCTTGGAGATGTCAAGATGTTTGTTTCTATCTCGGTCAGGAAAGGTGGGGTGTTTTTAATTATTCTCTTAAGGGTAGCTGAGGAGGTTTCTTCCAGTATCCTCTTGGGAGAGCTGGTCTCCAATATTTCATRGGTTGCCATGGTTTCACTGTCTTTCACTCTTGTCCTGGGGGTGATCACATGACGTGTTTCCATTATCATGAATGTGGATGGTGCATTAGTGTCTATAGTTTCCCCAGGAGGGGTTGGGGTGTTCTTCACCTTACCTCTGGCTTGAATTCGGTTGTAGCTCTTCATTTCTCCCCTGGATGATGGGCTATAATGTTTTACTGTTTGTCTGCTTGAAATTGGGCTGTAGTGATTCAGTACTCTACTTGGTGTGGTTGGGGTATTTTCCTTCATTCTTTCTGTACCTGCTGCTGTTGGGCTGTGATTATTCTTTGGTGTTGGTGGAGTGATCTTGGCAATTCTTCTGGGTGTTCTGGGCGTGTTCTCCATTGTCATTCTAAGTGTTGCTTGATTCCTGTCCAAGGTGGCTTGGGGTGCCACCATCTCAGCCTCCATTTCAGAGCTAGCTTTGGGAGGGTCAGTGCTCACTATCGTCATCACATCATTGGGGAGGTTACGGCTGGCCAGTTTTATAGGCTGTTGGGAAGAGACTTCTGCCCACAGTGAGGGGAGGCCCCAAGGTCTCCTCAAGTATTGGTAGGTAGAACCGATGATCAACATTCCCAATAGGAACAGGAGGCGACTCCARTGAAGCTGCCTTGGCCAGAGTAACCGCTTCTCCTGCACCCCCATCTTGATCAGTTTCCCCATGATGGCCAGTTATGTCTGTTACAGAAAGCCTCTCATTCTGTCCGTGGAGAGACTGCAGCTGCTCCAAGGTTCAGGTTGGTAATCAGGGAAGATTTCTCCATGAAGTCCAGTCTTGGGGTATTCACAAACCTGAGGAGGGAAAAGAAGTTATTTGCTCCTAAAAGGAGATCTGGGATCCAAAACTCCCTCAACTGGAAAAGAGTGATGACGGGAACCCCAGGGACACAGAAGTATTATACAGGGGACTTTGTGGTTGGGGGCATTTATTTCTATTGGAGTAAACTAGCTATGCCCCTTACTCCAGGAGACAATGCCTGCTTTTAGGAGAAAGAGTAGAAGGGGTCCTCTTGCTGTGTAGGCATGCTGGCAGCTGAGGTCCCTCAATCTTCCCTGGCTCCTCCCTGTGCTCCTACAAAAAATCTGCCAGCACTCCTCAGGTTCAAACTCAAGTTGCTGGGAGCTCAGTCACACAGAAGGTRTCCGGGCCAACAGATTTCACCTTATAAAAGGCAGGAAGGCAGTGAGGAGACATGATTTTAAACTGTTGACAGTAATGGTCAGCAGTAGAGGACACTGTTAGGGATATTAATAYTTTATGTGTTTTGTTTTGTTGGACTCTCTTAAAATGATTCCACTGTATGTTCCAGAGAGGACAAAGCTTAAAAGTTAATGTCATGGAGCTTCCCAAGCAAAGTGTTGTAGAGGAAAGAACATGGAAATTGGAGCAAAGGCTGGATTCTCAGCTCTGCTGCTTACTAGCTGTGTCATCCTGAACAGGCGGAACAGTGCCTCATCTTTGAATGGGTATGCTAACCTATATTAACCTCTGGAAGGACATTTGGGGAAGGGAAACTGAGGATCAGAGGAAAACTTACTTTTCATTCTGAACCCAATTAGTTTGAACTTTTTGTCATGCACATAGTATTATATTTTTATATAATATTTTATATAACACAATTATTTTACATTTAAATTTAAATGTAATAATGATAGTATGTGAATGGCAATGGTATTTATGTCACAAGAATTCTGAAAGACTGATTACACATAAGGTCTGTGAAAAGCATTGGATAGAATCAAATGCTACATAAGGTTAGTTTTAAACAAGAATGMAGGAAGGAAGAACACAAAAGATTTCAAAGAATACTCATTTTATAAAGGGCATTGAGGCCCAGCCAAAGTAAAAGTTATTAAATTTTTAATCAATGTCCATAGTTGCTACAAAACTAACTATAAATGACTGGTTTTCCATGTGGTAATAAGGTATTAGGAGCGAGCTGTCAGTTATATCAGACAGACCCATAGAATCTGTTTAATATAATTCTCCATGTGAGACATGAAGACATTGAAGTCCAGAGAGGAGATGTGATTTGTTTAATATCACACAGCCTGCTGGTAGCCAGGCAGATGAGACTCTTAAATCCCCAATCTTTCTAGTACACCCTGCTAAKTAGAGGTACAAATGCAACTGTCTTAAAAAGCAAAAGAAGTAGGAATAAGTGAACTTTCTTATTTGTCCTTGATTGCTATAAGTTTCATTCCATTATCTCTCTCCAGCCACCCTGTCCCTTGCTTGAACTCAGTACTTGTAGTGAGCCCACTGTCTCCCAGAGAAACTTCCAAGGGTCCCTCTTGCCGCAATGTGCCTGTGTAACAGAGCTGAGCTGGCACTCTCACTGATCCCACCTACCTTTAAACCTTGACATCTGGATGTCTTCTTAGTTCTGGAAACTTGTTAGAATCCAGGGTCTCAAAGAATGGGTCTGCAGCTAGATAGCAGGAAACACCCCATTCTCCTGCCTCCAGCTCCTCTATGGAATCCTAATTGAAGGCAGGGTCGGTTGAGTGTGAAGGGCAAGTCAGAGGAAGAATATCCAATCATGCTAATACCTGCCTCCTCTAAGAAGCTTATGAGGGCATTTTACAAGTTCTGGGTCCCAGTGCCTCTGACCAAGCCTGAGCGGGTGGCCTTTCCAGCAGGAACACAGGTGGGCTTCTTTCTGTGGGCTGCCCAGAGTAACTGGGGGAACTTCTCAAACTTGTTTCTAAGCTATGGGAATGAGAGTTCATCCAGGGTTTCCAGGCCTCAGCAGTGGAATGATTTAGGAAGATGCAGAAGGTGCTTCGAAGAAACCAAGAGAAAGTGCATGGGGCTTAAGAAACCCAAGAGAAAATGCATGGGGCTTAAGAAATCAGAAGACCCGTTAGCACTAGGCTCCACTTGCTACTGATATAATCAGAATGTAAGCATGGGATAATAATAAGAACTTGTCCTATCTGTAGGGTGGACATGCATGAGAATCAAAATTAAAGTTGAGGGATAGTAAAGAAAGTACTCTGCAAATTTTAAAGCATTTCACACATGAAATACATTTAATTAGGCCTGAAGGAAACTCTTGGGGAAGCAGGCTGGGAAGGAATCACCTCAAGGTACCCAAAGATTTGACTCCCTGAGCCTCCTGCACCTCCAGCCCATGACTTGGAGTGGGAATGGTATAAGGCAGCTGTGTGTGTGTGGGGGGGGGGTGGAAACCACTGCAATCATGCTGCTGACTTTGCTTAATATTTACCAGCTTTCCCCTCCTCCCTTCTCTGTTTCCTCCAGGGTATACAGATGGCATGCTGCTTTAGGTTACTTTAATGTGAAACAGCAGGCAATTCTTCTCAGCTTCATCTCTGCCTCATGCTACCCTGAGTGGCCTGGAATATAAGAAGGTAACCTACTCACTCCCTCTGCTGAAGCCCACAGTAGTGCTTCACCTCTGTGTCCTGGGCTCACTCTGGATTTCGGAGCCTGGAGACAGGACTCGGCTCTGCTAGTTACACACCCTTGCCTTTGTGTTACTGTGGGCAGAACCAGATCTAGTTCCTTCCCTTCTCAGACCAACTGTCTAACACTCTCAATCTGCCCCAGAAATACGGGGAAGGAATACAATTCATGAAGTAGAATTATGAATGTTTTTTTTTAATTGCCCTATTTTTATGTTACTTATGTAACACAGAAAATTCAGGAGAGAAGCAAATTTACAGAAAAGAGATTCCTTTCTCTTATGCTCATAAATGTTGTCAGTGAATTCTTCCTGTGTCTAACCTAAATCTTACTTGGTGGAGGTGAACCTAGTTCCATCTGTTTTATTCTCATGAGATGGTGGAACATTTTGAAATTCAACAGGCTATAGAAAAGTTTGCTATTCAACCAAGAGTAGGAACATTATATGCACCAGCCATATGAGTTTAGACAAATTACTTAACTTCTCATGAGTATAAGTAGATCTCTCATCCTGTACAATGAGAATGGTAATGACATTACCTGCCTGATAGGATTGTTGTGAGGATTAATTACTATGTAAAATATATTAATGTGGCTGGTACTGTTACTATTGTTATTGTTATTATCTACTTTTAGACATCACAGTCCCCACTTACTGCTAAAGATTATAGAGGAGTGTTAGGGTGGCAGTTCTCCATATCTTCCATTGCTTCAACACTCTACTGAGTATTTATTAGCTTGATAATCTGATCAATGYGTGTTTCTCTCACTAACAGGTGAGCTCAGAGAAGACAGAACCTTGTGCGGCTTATTTATTCCTGAATCCAGAGCCCAGAATAATGACTGGCACTTGATAAGGATATTCAATAAATAAGTATATTTGTTTTCAGACTGAAAAAGTGTATTCCAATAAGGAAGATGCTGAGATGGGGCAACCAGGCCGAGCCTGGGTAGAGTRAGGAAGGCCTACTCAAAGACTTATGGCCTCTCAGCAAGCAAATGGCCTAAAAAGGCCAGAAACACTGCAGTGTTTGGGAAGTTGATCTGATTTTTTCTACAAAATAGGCATATTTTCWCTCTCCCCTGTAACTGGATGACAGGGCAGGTGAAGCATAACAGCTCTAATCCTCACAATACGATCAAGGGCTGAGGAAGGCAGAGCTTAGAGGCTTGGCAGGACAGCAAGCCTTCCAAATCTTGAGGCCTTTCCCACCTTCTGCTAGAAGAGAATGAAGAGGGAATGAGACTTTTCAACTGATGAGGAGGGCTTCTGGGTGAGGCTGGTTTATTCTGGGCCTGCTTCTGGAGTTGATTATCAACTCTACAGCTGCACAGTAAAAAGTGGAGAAGATTTGGCAGAGATTGCAAATTTAAATGCCTTCAGGGCCTGGGTGGATAAAAGTCTGCTCTACTCAGAGTTGGATGTGAGTACTGGGGCTGTATGGGTGGTCCACCAAGAAGGATTCCAATGTCAAGCTATTTAAACATAATAAGGGACAAACAAAATGGTCTGCAGGYTGAATTTAACCCACAGGTACCTCCTCTGCAACCTCTAGTAAAGGAACAAGCACAGGAGCAAGTCTCCCAAAGCCTCTCATCCTCGGCTTCCTCATATATAAAACCAGGAAAGCAAGAATCCTCCTAGGACTGCCATCAGAGTTACAGCAAGAGAACCTGTGGAAAAGCACCCTGATCCGCCAGACACTGTACAATGCCATAGTCTCAAACCTTTTGACTGTATTTTTATAAAATTGTATTGTTTATAGGAGTAAAACTGACTGTCTAGTTGTCACTGACAGAAATGAACAAAATAAGCCCCCAAAGGGCCCACATTGCTTCATCTTTCCGAGTCAGTAACTGGAACCAGACCTGAGGCAGGGAGATGCAAATGGTGACATTTCAGGTTGAGGGTAGTTCAAGGCAGGGTTTTGTACTCATGGTCAGGTACCCATCTGACAAAAGATCAGACAGGTAGATTAGAGGATTTCAGTGTGGCTGAACATGAATCCAAGCAGTACCAGTATGATTCATAACCTCCTTCCAAGTAAGTGAGAAACAGCCCATTATGTGAAACTTACCATGACAAATCTGATTTTATAAAGGAATGCTAAGTCACAGATAAGTTTTAGTATCCTGTAAGTTGACAAAGACTAAATAACTAAATAACAAAGACTAAATAACAGTAGTGCTGATGAAGATAGTGGTTAGGGAATATAAATTGAATATGGCA